ACTCTGTTTCATCGAACAATTAACCGTTGTTCGGACTCAAAAAATACTCTGTTTCATCGAACAATTAACCGTTGTTCGGACTCAAAAAATACTCTTGAAACAAACGTAGGACTTAATAATCTTGATATTATTGAAGTTGGTTTCTAATAAATTATCACGTGTACATAGCTGTTCTTACTTAATTATGGACGACGAAAGTTACCTCTACCTCTCGCGTAGATCGTGGTCGGCTGTATTGGTCGGCGCGGGAGAGAAGGTAGAGACTACAAGAACGAATTAACTCAGTTTTTCTGAATTTCTATTTTTTGGTACGCACATCCACGGTCTTAACCTCTACTAGCTGTTAACGAATCTAAGCCTCTACCTAGCAATCAACGAAAGTTCCAAATTGTACAATGTCACTTCTTGCCCTCTGATGACCTGTCAGACGGTGTCGAGTCGTCAGCTTAGAAGCTTTATTGCTTGCCGCATTCTATTGTCTATTTTCCTGCTTGGTCTCCAAGTGGTCCCATTTAATTTCAGCAGCTACAACTCTAGCTAATTTCAAGTAGAAATTTCAGAGTTTCTTATTTGGAGGTCGTTGTGGTCGGGTCTCATCATTACTGGTGATGCCATTGTAGTACAGTTGTTCTTTTCTGTAGGATAATATCACCTGCCTTTATAATAACTTCAGTTTTTTTCTCTATCTTAATATCAAAACCTTCTAAGCCGTAGCCGTTACTTATCACTGCTCGTCTTGTATCCTCATTGCAGTTCTTATTCATCGAATTTTGACGTTTTTTTTTTCCTAATTTCTTTCATATCTACTCTAACATGTCAAAACTTACATAATTTGTACAAGAATATACCATTACCATCAGCATCATCATCTAAATTCATGTCAAAATTCATATAATTTGTACAAGGTAACATCCTCCACTAATCTTACTTACCTACCTACATCACTTTTTTTTCTGTTTTGAAGAAACTAAACAAAAGACATTAGACGAGAGAGAAAAAGCGCACACCCTACGTCGCGCACCAGTAGACCCTAGGCAGAACCTTCATCCCGGCGCCACCCATACGCATACACGCAGCTCTCTTGTGCTACTAAAATGACCCCTACCGAAGTACTCAGTAGCACAAGAAAGGCATGCTTATGCCGAGAAGAGTTTCGATGGCGGCCGAGAGGAGTTTCGCCAAATTTTAGGAAAAAGCAACGAAATCCGACAAGAAGAAAAAACAAGCAAAACCAACACGACCAGAAATAAGCCAGAAAGCAAACAAGTCAAAAAGTAGTTTGTTGTCTACTGATGCTATGAAAGGGCGCGCGCTTATGTTTAACACTGGTCGGTGCATAGAATGTAACCAGAGAGAAAACTTGACAAAATAGAATGATCGGGATCATCCTCCTGAATCAGATCATAGGTATCCTCCTCATTCACATGAGGACCCATTTCTTGTCCATTGTTCAGCGCCTCAGATGCTGCGCCACGGCCACCTGTGATGGTGACGCCATCTACTTGTTCAGGATCCTTTCTTAGACGGACCTCCTACAAATGAAATCCAGCCTGAATTAAAGAGTAATGAAACATTTGCCCCCCTTAGAAGAAATAATCTTACCAGGATGCTTGCGAAGATGGATTTCTTGTGGAAGAAGCCGTAATTTGACGAGTGGTGCTGCGTCTCCTTGATGTTCAGGGCCATCTTTCAGCACAGGAGTATCGTGATGATGCTTGTTGTCATGGCCTGAAGCAGCGCGTGGCTCCTCAAGAAAAGAAGCTTCCTCCGTTGGAAGCGAAGTAGACTCCTGCTGGGAACCTAGTAGAAGGTGGCGGTTTTTTTTAGAAGAAGTTCTTCATCTTATGGCTTCTTTCTGTCGACAAGTATGATCTACGTGCTGCATACTGCTCTGCTCGTTGTAGTAGACTTAGATTTAGCATAATTAGACAACGTAAACCTTCTCAAGAAAAACGTTATCAATCGAGGAGAAGTAAGTATAGTACCCACTCCTACGCCGACTTTTGGATTCTCTTCCGCAATATCGTTTGCCACTGGTTCCTCGTCTAAGAAGGACGCCGTGATATTATTGCCAGGCGATGCCGCAATACTTTCAGGCGTTGATGCCGCAATAAGCTCAGGCGGTCGATCCAT